AGATAATGTAAATACGGCTGATGAAACAAATCCTGCATGACCTTAAGAACCCTAAACTATGGGAGTTATGGTATATTCCCTTTATGGGTAATGCGCAACACTAAATAGAGCCCTGGCAGAACCCTTTTCAACCCGTCAAGAACAACCCTGAACCTTCTTGAAACCCTAAACCCTCCTAAGCCCAAAACCCTAAACCCTCCTAAACCCCAAACCCTTCTAAACGCAAAACCCTCCTACACTCCTAATCCCGAAACACTCCTAATTGAACCCTGACCCTTCCTAAACCCTAAACCCTTCTAAATCCTAAACCCTTCCTAAATCCTAAACCGAGCCAAGGATCTTCCCGGATCCCAGCCCAGCAGAGCAAGCGTGCTTCGGCAGCCTCTGGTGTTTGCGGCATAGGGGGTTTTGGCGGGTTTGCAGACCTACCTTTTTGGTGTTCCTTATTATGGTGTCTGTATACAGTTCCTTAAAAAGGTAGGTCTTCTCGGCTTCAGGTGTGGTTTAGGGTTTAGGAGGGCTTAGGGTTTAGGAGGGCTTAGGATTTGGGGTTTAGGGTGCAGGGGGTTTTGGGGTTTGTGGTCTAAGATCATGCAACCCCAACATGGTATTGGTATGCATTGGTAGCTGACAAGTGCCCCTTATTGGGCTTTTGTTTGAGGTTTCTGATCTGTGATAGGGCCCTTGTCGAACAGTGAAACCCAAAAATTCTGTTGGCATGTACTATTTCGGCCCGATTTGGGGTTTGGGGTGTAGGGTTGAACGTTCAAGGATCAGGATATATACCTTAGGATCTTAGGGATTGAGGTTTAGTGTTTTGGAGGGTTTCAGGGTTTGAGGGGTTTCCGGATATCAGGGCGCCAATTTGTGATGCTAAGGCAGCTGGGATATTGGGCTTCGAGTTGACAGCGAAAGCATGCCCCTGTTCGTACTGGGGGACCGAGTTGTTCAACGATGTTTCCTGTTTGGGGTTTCCCAGAATCTCCCATATCCCTCGATTAGGGTTGTTCCTTATATAAATCATTTCAGTGATCTTACCGTAATTTAAGGTGTACTGCTTGATTAAGGGGTTTTGGAGGCTCTGGGTTGGGGATTTAGGGTTTAGGATCAGGACTCTCGGTCTTGGGTTTAGGGATCAGGGCTTGGGGTTCTACTATTTGCTTAAGAACCCCCAAAAAATAAAAAATAGATTCCTTATGGGGGTAATATAGGGATTATTTTTTTTATTTTTTGGTGGTTTCTTAAGCAAATAGTAGGGTTTAGGGTTTAGGGAGGCTTACGGAGCCCCAGCCAAAATCCGACGCAAGCCCTGCAGAAGGGCAGTAACACCCGAAACGAGAAAGATCCTGAAGCAACAAACCTGAAACCCAAGCCTCAAGCCTGAAAGACCCTGAACAAAACCCCAGCCCCCAATCATGCTGATACAGATCGTGTCCAAAACAAGATGAAACTTCAGCGGTATGAAGCCCATCCCAGTGCCAATGCAGACCCTAACCCCGGTAATCCCAAGCCTTCAACTTGCCCTGAAACCTTGACCCTAGAATCCCTAGAATCTTTGAAGGGCCCTAACCCGTACAACGTCTGTGTAGAACCAGTAATTCAAAAAGAGAGACTCACACCCTATAAGACTCCTGACAAACGAGAACTCTTGGTTTAAGTTGGGTAGTGCTCCCACTCAGTAACAGTTGGATAGTATTCGTCATATAGGTGTATTAGGCGCTGTACAAGGCACCAATATAGACTGTTACTGTATTGGGGCAGTACCCCAGGTTTAACCTTTCAGGACCCAAACCCTTGACCTTAAACTCTAAGACTCAACATCCTAAATGGGAGTTGCCGAAAATTAGGGGGACCTCATTTTGGGGTCCTTATAATAAGGATCCTACGAGTTAGGGTACTATATCAAAGTCCCCTATTTTCGGAAACTCCTAAATCCCTCAACCCTAAACCGTAAGCCCTTGAACCCAACACCTTAAACCCTTCACCCCTCAACTAAACCCTTGAGCCCGAAGCCCAAAGCCCTACTCAGGCAGAATCTTTGGAGAACCATGGCCGCGAACCTGATGCTCTCAAAGTGGGCGGCAGGCCGGCCAAGGTGATAAACCACTTAAAGGTTCATGGGACTTAGGAACTACGGCTATAAACAAGGTAGCTATACTTGTAGTTACCTGTAACCCCAATTAAGGACTTATAACCAGAACCCTGATCCTAAACCCTAAATCCCTGCATTAGGGAATATACCTCAGGGTTCCTTAGAGGGATCTACATGGTTTGGGGTTAAGGGGACTCCACAACCCCTTAATTAAGGAATATTCTTTAAATCATAAGAGGAACCCTAGGAAGATTTAAGGTATGTTCCGTGATTGAGGGGTTTCTGGAAAGTTTGCTGGCCTTTACTAATTAGAATAGGGTTCCTTTAAAGCGGTCTATAAGGGCTATTATAAGGATATAATGTAGGGGCTTTGGGGCATTGCAAGGTTTTAGACTTGAGGGTCCTAAGGGTTTAGTTGTGAGTTTTTGAGGTCGCGGCCTGCCTGTTGAGTGGCCGCCGGATGTGCGTTCCGTTCCCGCGCTGGAGAAGCAGCCTACTATAGGGGCTGGAACAGTTACCACTACTATTCTCGGAGTTCTTTCCTGGGACTGACTATAGTGTAGTATACCCCCCAAACCGCATTCGAATTATGAAGGCCCCTATACTATAGAACCCTACTATAGATCCCTTATAGACCCCTTGTTAAGGGAACCCTTTAAAGGAGCCCGATTCTAATTATTTCAGGCCCCAAATTATCCGAGACCTGAAGCCAAGAGTCGAGCGCACCGTCGGGAGCCCCGTAAGTACCCAGTATCTTGTAGCAGACTAATTGAACTTATGGGATGCCCAGTAGTACCCTTATTCCCTTTTTGTAGTCCTAGGTTCCTTATAAAGTTACCCAATACCAAAAAGAGAGGCCTTTTTATTCTTAGGTTACTGGGTATCCTAGACTTTAATCTTTTTGGGGGTACCATGATCCTCATGAGATACCAACTGTCAACCTTTCGTTCCCTTCGGGAAACTGGACAATGACGGAGGGGTCCATTGTGTCGATTGATTCGGCTCGGGAAGCAATGGGCAAGGATGACTGAGCAGTGGCGATTGATCGGGGCCATGCTCTGCTGGGCGCTTGTGATGATCGTTTTGGTGCTTTGCACCTACAACGAGATCACAGCATGGACCAACAATGTCCTGCAGGTGGCGTACGCAAGCTCCCTGTTATATGCCTACGCCATGGCAGGCCACGCTGTGGCGGTGGTGATGGTCATCTTGGATCAGGTCCTCACACCAGCAGGGCTGCAGGACCAGGACGCCTTGCTCAACCACGCATCGAGTATGGCGTTGACCTTCGCATTTGCGGTGTTGGAGACCTACACCCCTTACGTGTGGTCAGGCGTGGAGTAGAAGCTCCACGGCCTGGGAGTGCCATGAAACCATCTAGGGTCTATGGTATCTACCCAGGGATGGATGGCACATGACCTCGGTGCTACATGAAATACTAGGATGCCCAGTAGTACCCTTATTCCCTTTTTGTAGTCCTAGGTTCCTTATAAAGTTACCCAATACCAAAAAGAGAGGCCTTTTTATTCTTAGGCTACTGGGTATCCTAGAATAGTATGCCCTCATACCCGTCCAGGCGATCATACACGCAACCTACTGTGTTTCGTCATTGGGGGTTTCTGGCTTTAGGACATGTTGTCTCAAGACAACACAACCCCCCGTAATATAGGTGCACACGTAATATTGGGATTCCTTCTTATAAGTATAGTATAATGTACCCCAAAGCCCTATGCTAATCATTGCAGCCTCCGCTGTATCAACTTCCAGACCCCCGGAATCCCAGGAGGATCAAGAAACTTAGAGCCCCAAATTAACCGGCTTATCTTATCCCATGTGACAGTAGAATAGCTGAAAACCCTGCAAACCCTTCTTCAGATCCTCAAAGAGTCTGGAAGCTGCTTTAAAACGGTGGGACAGTTGTGTGTGTGTGTGTGTTTTTTACGCAGTTTTGGAGGCTTAGGGGTACTTAGAAATACTTTTTGATCTTTGGCGATTATAATCCCTAAGAAACAGCTGAAATTACAATTTTTGCTAGGGTTCTAAGTTCAGTATAGCAGGGACGGTAGCATGATTACAGGTTTCAGGCGACCGGAACCGTCGTCGTACTGTTGATGGACAAAATCCTGCATGACCCTAAGCTATGGGAACTGTGGCAAATTCCTTATAATGGGTAGTGCAGGGTTTTGTCCATCAACAGTATTAGTCCACATTGACATGAAATACCTGAGCTTTTCGTGGAACACGAACAATAAACATCGGAGAAATATATAGGAACATCCAGGAAGGATGTGCGAGTTTCCGAACAACCTGGTTATTTTGGTGTCCTTAAGATCCTACAATTTAGGGTGCTATCTTAGGGTCCCCTGATTTTGGAAACTCTCATGCAGGAATCCGGGCTGCAAGCCTGACAAAGGCCACTCCTCAGGATATATCAATCTAACTACTGCGTGGAATGCAATCCACCAATACTGTACTCCAAAGCCGAAGTTTTGAGGCCCCTACTAAATCAACAATTAACCAAAAAGTACGTTTCAGAAATAGTATACATGTGTGTATGTGGAGAGATACGAGAAGGCATACATACATCCATCCATGCATACATACATAGCTCATACATAGGCACACACCCTAAACTCCATGTTTGAGGTATGCGGGTTCGCAAAGATCAAAGACCGTTTCAGGTGATGTCTTGTTCTTTACCACAGTAGCTAGCGACCGTCTGCGGCTTTGTACAGGCCTCCCTTGGGTACGCCCTCGCTCAGTAACAGTTGGATAATATTCATAACATAGATATATTCAGATCTTAGTAGTAGCCCCACAATAGACTGTTACTGTATGGGGGGGGCAGTACCCAAGGCCTCTCAAGTGACTGCCAACCAGTGAAGAAGTGGAGCTCGCTTGATCGAAGGTGGTATGCGGAAGACGGCTGATCGCGCCTACACGCTCCTCGAGCAACGTGCCGGGCATTGTGATACTGTGGGTTGTGGGGCTGTGGGGCTAACGGCAATCTTACTGGGCAAGCAACCTTTAGGTTTGTCTGATACAATCCCATAGATTAACCGATTAACCCTTAGTTCCCCTACAGGGGGGGGGGGGCAGTGAATAATGTTGCTGATGGACACAACCCTGCTGCTGGAGTAACCTAAAAACGCCTTCTGTGGATCATACATGGTTGTTGTATCCATCGACAGCAGTGTAGCTGCTGGAAGCTTTGGGTCATGCGGTCCCCTCGCAAGAGCAGCGAGGACCTTCGTTATCATCCATTCCCAGACCCCCGGGAGGATCTAAAAAGTAGATCCCCTTATTTGGGGCCCTATACTACTAAGGGTACTTTATAGGAACCCCCATTAAGGGATCTACTTTTTGGATCCTCCCGGGGGTCTGGGTTCCCAAACTGTTCGCGAACGTGTTCACGATGACCTTAAGGATGCTGTAGGAGAAGCAAGTTACAACTCCACTTAATAAAGAACAGGGTTCCTTTTAGGGGTTCCTGTAAAGGCTACTATAAGGGCACGATCAGCTTCCGTAATATAGGGCTCTTTATAATTCCCTATACTGTTTTGGCGGCTCCTTATTAAAACTATGGTAGAATATACCCCGAAACCCCATTCTGACTATTAAGGTCTCATTAGACTTACCATGACTTACCACAGGAAACGGTTCACTATGCAGGAAACCCAAACCTCTATGTCGGACGCGCATCTTCGCCAAAGTAGCAAGTTTAAAGCCGCACTTAAATACACAGACAAAAGAGTATTCAAAGGACTCTAGCTTCCCCGGTAGTGGCATGTTGTTCTCTTCGTGATGTGCAACACCGCCCACAAGGTTCCGGCAATAACACACCAAACAAGATTTCGGAGCAAGATTGGGTTCAAGCTTGAGTGGGTGGTTATAGTTGTCTCCATTGGCCCAGCTTTTGAAGCTTTTGGGTTCTTAGGTGCTAGATCCTTGGGCATTGGAGATATAATGTTCATTCTTCACAGGTCGTTTTTGTTCCGGCTCCTCAATCTGCATGCAGTGTTAGAGCTGTTGCCACGCCCTCGTCTCAACGAGCATGCCTTAAGCCCAGGGCCTACGCTTGCTGTACATGGGAGTTACCGAAAATTGGGGGTACCTTGTTTTGGTGTCCATATAATAAGGATCCTACTATCTACGGTAGTATATTGGGGTCCCCTATTTTCGGAAACTCCCACATCCTCAAACACGAACCAAACCCTTTACGTCGAAACCCACCGTAAATCCATTCCCAAATCCCTCAGCCCTGGAACCTAAAGCCCTAAACCCCTGCACCCTAAACCGCCAAACCCTGAAACTCAGAGGAACCTGCAAATCTCGGATTCGGACATGTGCCTCGCAATAAAGAAATTCGGGATTTTGGGAATTTGAGCTTCAGGCAACATTCACCTAGCCTAGTGCCTTTTGCTTCAGAGGGCCTCGTTGTGGTGTGGGCAACCTACTTGGGAGGACCTCCACATGAGCCTTTCACAGGGGCTTCCCTACCTTCTGGGGCTTACTTGAAACGGAATCAATGTGACATATCCCTATCCAAGATGTTGCTGTTGCCTTTTGGTGCTCCTACAAGTGATGTTTATTGGAGTCCGCTAACCCCCTCAGACCTAAACCCCGAAACACACCTCAAATCCTAAACTAATCCCTAAACCCCAGACCATAGAACCAGAAGCCCTGGGTTCTCCAGTTGTGCCGGGTTCCCTACTACAGCGGCCTAAATATTTATTTTGGTGGTTCCTCATTATAATTATAGTATCATGGGCCCCAAAAACCTATTCTAACTATGAAAGCCCCTATATTACTGAGGTACCCAGAACCCTAAACTGAGGAATGGCATCCTCAAGCTGTATCTCGCCACGTCTCCTCCGGATGCCTGGGCGACCGCTTGTGACCTGGCACCTTTATAATTGAGGTAACTATGCTTATAGTTACTTATAATCCCAATTAAGATACTCATAACCCCAATTAAGTTACTTATAGTTACTTATAACCCCAATTAAGTTACTCATAACCCCGATTAAGTTACTTATAGTTACCTATAACCCAATTAGGTACTTGTAACCCTGCTTACTAAGTCCCATGCTCCTCCAAGTAGACCCTAAACCCTAAACCCCTATATATCCCTTATAGAGCCCCTTAAGGAACGCCTTAAGGAACCCTTGAAGTTACTAAGTCCCATGCTCCTCCAAGCGGCAGGCAGAACCCAAAGCCCCAGAAGCTGAACATAGGCTACTTGGAGGATCATGGGAATTAGTAAGTAGGGGTATAAGTACTCTAATTGGGGTTATAAGTAATTATGAGTATAGTTACCTTAATTACAACCCTAGTGTTAGAAGCTGCCCCCACCCTGTAATAGTGGTATAGTAGGAATATAATAGGAGTATAATAGGGCCCTAATATAATCCTCATAGTCACTATTACAGGGTGGGGGCAGCTTCTAAGCTATGTACTATACATGGGTAGTTGTCAAACTTAAGGTCACTTTGTTGGTGTACGGTAAATAATAGGTGCCGTAGTATAATGGGGACCCAAAAAGGGGCCATAATTTTGACACCAACCCACATCTTGTATAGCAAAATAAAAGTTTAAGGGTAGTCTAAAGTTCCATTATTGGGTTCTTTCAATAAGCTATACACTAGGTATCGATTTGGTATAACGGTTAAATTCTTGATTGTTCACTGACTGTTGGAACAGGATACTTATAGCTCTACCCATGACCCTCCAAGTAAGCTGAGCACAAGAAACGTTGTCTCAGCGCTACATCAGGATCCATAAATAGGTACCCCCACAACCTATGCTGGCTTTCTATGTCCTTGACAGGCCAGAGACAAGCCTGCAATCGCATAAAGGATCCGTCCGTAAGGTCAGGAATAATTCGTAGCTAAGTAGGTAACCTTTAACCTTTTGGGGCTTATATAATCCTACCACAGTTGAGAAGGTTAAGCTTGGTTGGGCTAGGGTACGTAGTCCCTAGGAATCTATCTTAATTGAGGTGGTGTTGGAATCTATGGGTTTGGGCACCCAGTCTTTCTCCCGCATTGGGCGCTTGGGTGTCTGACAGACCCCTAAGGGATCTTCAAAATGCCATCCTTGGAAGGCTGTACCTGAACTACTACAAGTGAGGATACCGTTGCAGAGGATGGGCTCATCAAGTCCAGCAAATGCTGATGGCGTACATGCAGATGTCTGAACCGTCAGGGTGTGTCAGGTTTAGCGTTGAGCGGATGTCGCCGAGTAGGTCACCACCGACGCCCCAAACCATGAACTCCTACATACAGTAGGCCTCCACAGTTAAGACCGACACCCAAAGCTCTGAGCCCCAACAACCTGCATTCGGAAGTCCCTAAACATTGAGGTTGTTTGGTGTTAAGAACCCTAAACCCCTAAATCCTAAACCCCTAAACCCTGAACCCCTAAACCCTAAACCCCTAAACCCTGAACCGTAAAACCTATTGCAATCCCACCGAGGCCAATGGCTTCTGGCCAACGAGGCGCAAGAATTTGCTTGGAGGATGAACGGACCAAGCAAAGAAGGATTAATATAGGGGCCCATACTTGAAGAGGTTAACCTTTTCTGGCCTAGGGTACTCAGTGCCGAAGATTAAGGAACATACCTTAAATCATTCGAGGGGTCCGACCATTATTAGGGCATACCCCTCATTGAAGGATTACTGCGTCGTAGTTGAGCAGATACATGTTGTTTCCCTCTGAGACTTGCATAGTCTGACCAGAGATGCGAAGCTTAGCCTTTTTGGTGCTATGGTGTTCAGCCCCCAAGACTTTGCACTTTGGGATCTGCAGGGTTGTAGAAAGATGTCGTGCGGTTTGGAGAGGTTCAGAGAGTTTTTCTGATGTCTTTAGAGTTGTGGATTGTAAAGGTCTTTCTTGATCACCGAAACAGTGGTGTATAGGGCCATAGGCTATAATAGGGGTTCTACTTAAAGGGTCGTGGAATTTGGTGACTATGGTTATTATAAAGGTAACTAAAGCTATAATTGCTTAAAACCCCAATTAAGGTCCCTATAACCTTACTTTCTAAGCCCCATGATCCTCCAAGTAGACCCTAAACCCTAAACCTCTATATATCCCTTATAGAACCCTTTAAGGAACCCCTAAGAGTAGACTTACCAAGTCAATTGAGCCTGCGAAACCCAGACCCCCTGGAAGGATCCAGGAAGAAGATGCCTTCAGGGGCTAGGACCCAGAGAAAGCCCTTATTCCCCACCCTCGGTGTGGGGTTGTTACATTTTAAAGTCAGCTATTACTCCTCGCCCGCTGAGATTACCTCCTGGAGTACCCAACCCCACAGACTACCGTGAGAATACCGTGAGAATCTCTGGAGTGCCCAAGCCCACAGACTAATGTGAGAATCTGGAGTGCCCATCCCCACAGATTACCGTGAGAATCCCTGGAGTGCTCAATCCCAACTTTGGAGTCTGCCGAGGCCTCGCAGCCTCGAGGCTTAATTCACAATGCATCGGACTCGTTTGTCACAAGCAGATTCCACGCGTACTCTTCTGTCATATGTTGTACAACATCTTGTGCTATACAAACACACTTGTTCCACACCTAAACCCCCATCACAACGCGTGTGAAACATCAGCCCTAATCTTGCTGAGTTGGCCGCAGCGTGGCGGCCCGCGGGAGTGCTCGGGAACGCGGTTTAAGGTTTAGGCTCGGGTTCTTTAGGTCGTAGGACTTGCGTGTAGGAAGGACAAGGCGCTAGGGTGGGGATGTTCGAAGTGAAATAATTCATTTTCTAAGGCTTCATCTTCCCTTATAACACCCTGTATACCAAAAAGGGCACCCCTTTTATTCCTAGATTACTCTCAGGTCTAGGGGGGTTCCGATAAAGCATCCTGCAGTCCCCCTAACCCCCAAAAGTTAAGGGTGTAGGGTTGCTTTTTGCATAAGGGGCGCTGAAAAAACCGAGCCCTAAGCCCCTACACCCCCCAATACCCTCGGAACCAGGCGCTGTGGAGCGGCTGGGTCCCAGATGAGCGTACATGCTTGGAGGGAAAGGGCCTGGTCGACCTGAACGGAGCCTTGGATTCAGAGGGCTTTAAGAGGTTCCTTTACAGGAGTTTGGGGTTTTTGCCCAGGGTTTAGGGTTCAGGGTGTAGGCTTTAGGGTTTACGGTTGAGGTGGTGTCTGTATGTACCAACATTGGTTCCATAGGTTTCTGCTAGAAGGGTTCTATAGCTGAAGGGAGCTTTGCGTTTGAGGGTGGTTCAAGCAATCATTTGGATTTGGGGCTCAAGCGCTAAAGCCTAAGGACCTTCCAACTTGGGACAGAGCCCTACTTGGAGGATCATGGCACTTAGTAAGTAAGGTTTGTAATTACCCTAAAATTGGGGGTTATAAGTATAGTTACCTTAATTATAACCCTAGTTACTAAGTCCCATGACCCTTTAAATATAAGGGGCGTCTACATAGGGATTTACGGGTTTAGGGTTCTGTACCTGGTACTGGATTCTCAGAGCTTCGAGGGGTTGCTGTAAGGCTTGCTTTGCACTCAGTAGGAGAGCAGGTAACCTTTAACTTTTTGAGGTGCTATAATGCACATACAGGGAACTCCAGAAAGTTGGAATATGCTTTCATGGTAGGATACCCTGTAATTTGCCATAGAAGGGTTAGGATAATCATATTCCAACTTTCTGGCTTCTACTATATATGCCTAAAGATTAACTTTTGGTTCCCAGAGGAAACTTAGCAAGTAGGTGCAGGTGCTTGGCGTTCCAGGGGTGTGTTTGTAGCTACAGCTTTGGATTTTCGGAGGGCCCCAAGAAGTGTTGTGTTCAGAGTTTTAGAGTTTAGGGTTAGGGTTTCAGGGTTTAGGGTTGTTGTGTTTAGGTTTAGGGTTGTGGGTGGTGACGAGAGGGTTTACTATGATGAGGTTCTGGACTTGTTCGGAGTTTGGGATTCCCCTGAGCCCGCACCGCCTAGACGCCAAGCCTTGGACTGGAAGTTCAACCAAAGGTGCAAAGTGCCTTGAGCTGCTTCGTGGCTGAGTCGGTAACCTTTAGCCTTTTGGGGGACTATTTGGTCTTATCATACTTGAAAAGGTGAACCTTTTCTGGGGCCAGTCCGTAAGAAGGTGTGCCTCAAGGGGGCTGGAACAGACAGATCGGTCAAGACACCTACTGCAAAGGATTCCTGAGCAAACCACGGCGTAAACCTTAAACCCTACTTAAAGGGTCATGGGACTTCGTAACTGAGGTTATAAGTAAGGTAACTATACTTATAATTACTTATAACCCCAATTGAGGTACTTATAACCCCACATACTAAGTCCCATGATGCCAAATCCTGAGCCCTAGACCTGCCACTCTCCCAGAGACTCCTATAGGTTCCTGAGTAGTACCCTTTTGCAAGTTTCTATTTTAGGGCCCCCTTATTCAAACTAAATAGTAGGAAACAGGGAGGGTGCCCATATTATGAAGGGCTACTGGGAACCAAGCCTAAATTACCATCTCATGATGGGTCGAGGCAATTTCGTCGATGCGAAAGTCGCAGCGGCTACTTGGGCTGACAGTGGCCCCCGAACACCCAATCTACTACCAAGATTTCCGGGGGAGCGGGAAGGGTTGAAATAACAGTTTCATAATAAGTTCCAAAAAGGTCAGTTAACGGGTTCTACAAGTGCATTGTAGGACTTCTGAAAAATCGGTTTCGCATGTGCTTGGAGTGATCAGTCTCCCAACCCTCTAATTAGGTAGGACGTGGGGAGCAGATCCTACACCCTAAGCCCTAAACCCTAAACCCAAACCCTAAACCCTAAACCCAAACCCTAAACCCTACACCCTAAGCCCACGTGCGCAGTGGTCGCGAACCTGGCAAGGCTTCGTGATCGTGAGTAAGTTATACTTGGAGGATCATGGGACTTAGTAACTTCAAGGGTTCCTTAAGGGGCTCCTTAACGGGTTCTACAAGGGATATATAGAGGTTTAGGGTTTAGGGTCTACTTGGAGGATCATGGGACATAGTACTAGTAAGGTAAGTAAGGTTATAAGTACCTCAATTGGTGTTACAAGTAGAGAGAAGTATAGTTACCCTAGTTATAAGCCTAGTTACTAAGTCCCATGATCTTTTAAGTAAATCTTGAGGCGCCACAAAGCTAGCACGCGAAGCCTTCGAGTGCGCGGGGCATTTCACACCCCTCAAAGCCCTGTAGGATCCAAAAACAACAGGACAACGAAAATGGTGTCCTACCAGTGGCAAGGGTTGGAGGCAAGGGCCTTGTTCGAAGCTTTAGCTTAAGAGGCTTGTGACTTGGGCTGGGCAGCATTTTGATGTTAAGAGCGTTCGATGTGTACGATTCCGTCTTTAGTGCGTTTAGGGCTGAGGTGCCGAAGGCCTGGTAGCTCAGTATTTAGTCAGAAGTTTGGAGAAATAGAAGAGAATACGAAGACGAGATTTTTGCACCCATGATCTCACCAGCAGTCTCAAGACATTACGTAGATAGGTGCGGTGTAGAGTCTTAGCAGGGCACTGACTACAGGCTTCGCGAGACATAAGAAACCCCACACCCTATATAACCCAAAAGCCCAAAACCCAAACTCTGCACCCGGGTCAGCCGCGAGAGGTTGGCTGCACAACCTGCCCTGTGGCACAGCAGCAAGAAAGTAACGTTGAATTCCCACCAGAATCCCAGTAGTATCCAAAAACTAGATCGTTTAAGGGGCTTCCTATAAAGTACCGTTTAGTAGAATAGGGTCCCGAATCAGGACGTCTACTTTCTACATCCTCCCGGGGGTCTGGGTTCAGGATTTCCCGTTGTTTCCCTCGACTCATATTGTGTGTTTTGCAGCGGCACAACGAGCTTCAGGGTTTAGCTATTTAAAGGGAACTCCAGAAAGTTGGAATATGCTTTCAGGGTAGGATACGTTATAATTCACCATAAAGGGCTTAGGATAATCATATTCCAACTTTCTGGCTTTAACTTTACAGTTATCGGGCTAGGTACAGGTTGGGATCTTCGCACGTTGGGCAAGTAGAATTCCACTTTTGGCCTTCTTAGTGCGTTTCCTGATCCTCTCTGGGGGGGGGTTCTGGTTAAGTGTTTAGGGCTTCAGGTTTCGGAAAAAGGGTGTCAAAATCGTCGGGTTTAGGAATTAGGCTCGAGTGTTCAGAGTCTAGGACCCTAGGACCCAGAGTAGGCCCTTATTCCCTTTTGTGGGGTTTAGTTTCCCTTATGACACCCTCTAACCCAAAAAGGGCACCCTTTTTATCCCTAGGTTACTCTTAGGTCTAGGAGTTTGGCCGTTCGGGCCAGTCCGGGCTTGGATTAGGGATCAGTGTGCGGGATTTCCCATACCTGCCCCAGCTAGGATGCCCAGTAGTACCCTTATTCCCTTTTTGTAGTCCTAGGTTCCTTATAAAGTTACCCAATACCAAAAAGAGAGGCCTTTTTGTTCTTAGGTTACTGGGTATCCTAGATACCTGCCCAGGAATACAACAATTCCACAGACAGATGGGTAGTTCTCTGAATGAGGCTCCCTTTTTAGATCCCAATTATAGTACGGCACCGTTATAAAAGGACCCTAAAGGCAACCCTAATTGACGGCAAAAGGGACCCCAATTTACGGCATCCTTATTTTAAAAAGGAGAACCTTAAAAGGGACCCTACTTAACGGCACCCTTATAGCAAGGACCTTAAAGCTTCCCATAGGTTCTGTAATAGGGTCCCCTTTAAGGGCACTATAGGGTTCTATAATAGGGTCCCCTTTAAGGTTAGTGTACTTCATTTAGAGAACTACCCAGGTCCTATCTGAATCCGCTCTTTCTCGGTACTTTTAGGATGCCAGGTCTTATCCGGTAGCCATGCCTCCGAAGCTGAGCGGTCCTACTTAAAGGGTCATGGGACTTAGTAACTATTAGGACCCAGAGTAGGCCCTTATTCCCTTTTTCCAGGGTTTAGGTTCCTTATGACCCCCTTTAAACCAAAAAGGGCACCCTTTTTGTTCCTAGGTTACTCTTAGATCTAGACTAGGGTTATCATTCAGGTAACTATACTTATAATTACTTATAACCCCAAATCAGGTACCTATATACCCTTACTAAGTCTCATGATCCTCCAAGCATGACCCAACCACCGAATCCATGAAGAAGATCCCAGCTGAGTCCGTGTGGATATGCTCCCGGAAGGGGGGATAAAGCCATCAGAAAGGCCCAGTGAACAACCCAGCAAAACACCGGGGACGCAGTAACATGGGTTATCAGTGCGATCATGACAAGGGGTAAGGCATCAGCACACAACGGAAGACAACAGTGTAGCCGTCTGAGTATCTCGTTATACTACTCCTTAGGTCCTCAGTATCGATGCAGTAAAACGTACCCACTCTATTCTAAAGGCTAAAACCCCTTTATATTACTACTCGGGGGACGTTGTAAATAGTTGTTTAAGACTTATAAGTATCATAGTTCCGCTAAGTCTACTTATTGCATATATGTATGGGAGTTTCCGAAAATTAGGGGTAGCTTATTTTGTATTGAAACCTACTTACAAAGCTCCCGGACCCTCCAATTGAGCTCCAGGCGGGCTATTCTCCGAAGAGATTCCCTAAACTCTATCATTGGAGCCTAAATAATTACCAACACTATTCTGGGAGGCTCCTTAACATGGTTATAGTCTAATGTACCCCAAAACCCTAGTCTAATTGTTAAGGCCCCTGCGGTAAACCCTAAAAAGCTCCAGGTGGGCTATTTTTCCGAAGAAATTGCTGACATCACCGGCACCACTCGCAAATGTTCCTTGGCCTTCGGAGTGATCCAAAAGCCCTTAAGTAAGGAATGTACCTGAAATTATCGTAAGAACCCTAGTAAGGTTTGGGGTACAGTCCTTTAATTACGAGACGATTTGCTTTAGCGTTTAGGATTTTGGATTGGGCTCTACAAGGGTTTGGTCAAGGCTTCTGTAAGTGCAGTAAGAGGGAAGTACAGGGGTTTGGGGTTTAGCGTTCTCCTCAGATCTTACAAAACCCTGTAACTCAGGAATATACCGTAATTCAAACTTGGGATCCTATCATATTTTACGCTTTCGGGATTGTTGAAGGTTTGGGTTGTTTCAGGCTGTTCCGGTGCCTGTTGGCTGCTTGGGGTTTCTGCGCTCACATTATAGGCTTTCCGTTTATGGTTCTTAATTTTTTTGTTATTTGCAGTAGTGAGATGAGATTTCTGGCATAGTTTCACGGGCTTAGCAAGGCTTTTGGGGTCTTCACTTGGAGGGTCGGGGGACTTAGTAAGTAGTTATTAGTATCGTAACCCCTATTTAGGGTCCTTATTAGGGTACTTATAGGTCTACTTAATACCTACTTACTAAGTCCCCCGACCCTCCAAGCACAGGTGGAAAGCTTCGCGCGTTCGGGCTTGAGAGCTTAGGGCCCTTCGGGCTGAGAGCGTTTGTGCTCTACGGTGCTTGACTTAAAAGTTCATGGGACCTGGTAGCAGGGTTTAGGGTTTAGGGCTAGGGTTATAGATTAGAAAAGGTAATTACATCTATCATGTCTTCTATCCCCGCCTACTGAGTCCCATGAACCTTCCGGGACGGTTCGTGCTTTGGGCCGGCTTCATCCTGCCGTTGACAAGAATCGAAATTCCCGAAACTAGCTAGCCCTCTACAGTAATCCCTATAAAGTTGGACACCGGATTGAGGCCAAATAGTGCTGGGATTCCCTATACATTTTTACTCTTAAGGATTGAGGCTATTGGGTTTCCAACTTTTTGGCTTCTACTCTAAGACATTGCATGTTTCCCATCATGGGCCGAGCCTAAGAGGAAGTCATTTTTCAATTGCTTTCAAGGGCCATGCTCCAGAGACTCCCAAAACCCCTTTAAAAAAAGGAATATGCCTGAAGTTATCATAGGAACCATAATAAGGTTTAAACAAACATCGAGCTAGGATAGAAACCTCCCCTGTGTGCCTATGCAAAAACCTATATTATTCCTCAGGGTTCCTCATTCTGTTTGTAATATGATATGGGAGTTTCCGACAATAGGGGACCCCAGTACAGTACCCTAAATAGTAGGACCCTTTTTACAAGGACCCCAAAATAAGGTACCCCTAAGTTTCGGAAACTCCCATATACCCGAAAAGCTATTCTAATGATTAAGGCCGCTCTAGTCTGTCGGCTCATGCCCGGCAAACGCCCCCAAGCCCTGCACCCCACGGGTTCAGGGTTTAGGGTAGTTTAGGGTTTAGGAGCATCTTATCACCCTCGACCTTGAAATCCCGAAGCCCTGGAGCATAGGGGCCTTAATTATTTGAGTAGGTTTTTGTTGTTCCTTTTCTGGGTGGGATATGCTATCTTCTAGCACAAGTAATTTTGACGAAGCCTAGAAAGAATACTGGTTAGTCAGGGTTCTTCTACTATTTGCTTAAGAAGCCCCAAAAAATAAAAAAATTAGTCCTTATGGGGGTAATATAGGGATTATTATTTTTTGGTGGTTTCTTAAGCAAATAGTAGTCTATATTACCTTCAACCCTACAGCTCATCCACCGAGCGAGCCTTGGCTTCTTGTAATAACACTAATTCAGCAACAGTGATAATCATCATCACGCTAGTGGTAGCAACAACAATCATAATAATAGTAATTACAGCACTAGAAATAATAATGATGGTGTTCATAAGTAATAGTGTTAACTCGCAGGCAGATTCATGTTTGGCCCAGGTTCCCCGTGCCCCCTGGGGACCAGCCAGCCGTTGCTTGGCTTTTCCGGAGTTCGCAGTCTCGAGATTGAAGCTTCATGCTCAGGGCCCGCGGATCGGGTTTAGAATGTTGCCTACTATAAGGGGTCTATAAGGGTACTATAATATAGGGGCCTTAGTAATCCTATAATCTTACCTTTGGTTAGTAGGGAATGGAAGAATGGTAGTAATAGTAGTTATAATGGTGCCCCATTCCTCCATTCCCTCCGAACCAAAGGTAAGGGATCCAAAAGCTGAAGACAGTTTCGGGTTGAATTAAGGGTTTGGGGCTTAATGGTTTTGGGTATACGGTTTAGGGCTTTCGGTTTAGGGTTGTGTGCCCATGAGCAGAGCCCGAACAAATCCTCCCAAACCCGTGTAGAACCCTTAAAAGTACCCTGAGCGAGACCCCATTGAAACCCTCCAAACTCCGACACTAATGATGAAGGCAAGGAGGTTCAAGCCGTGTGCGATGCCTGCTACAGTGATGTTAGCGATGGGGACGACGACGACTCTCTCCCTCTGTCTCTTTCTTTGTGTGCCGCGCACTCTCTCTCTCTCTCTCTCTCTCCCTGTTTCTCTCTGTGTTGCACTAATTCCCAGACCCCCGACAGGATCTAGAAAGTAGATCCCCTAACTTGGGGCCCTATACTATTACGGGCACCTTATAGGAACCCCCATTAAGGGATCTACTTCTTGGATCCTAAGGGGGTCTGGGCTCCTACCATTTGTAGAGATCTCACGCGCTCCAGACGTTTGAGAGGCTGCAGTCCTTCCCTTCTCAACGGTGAGGGTTCGGGTTTGAGGGTCGCTGCGTGTGATCCGGTACAGAAGCTCCACAATTAATGTAGGGGCCTTAACTAGAACAGGGTCTTGGGGTTCTGTATTATAACTCGAGTGTAACATCCCCCAAAAGCATACTCTATGCATGAAGGCCTCTACATTATGGGCTCGAGCCCCTAACTCCGGAGACAACCAACGAAAGGCTTCTCCAGGTCGTGAGGATTTGAATTCGCCTAAGTTGCCACAATAAGGAAGCCATTTTGTTGCACTATAGACCCCGGTTATGGTAACTTAAGCTAGGTTCCCTAGCACTTCTAGAATATGGCGTTTCGGGCTCACTGGCTTTGGGAATGCAAGGTTGTCGCGCTCCGAGATCGAGGGCTTTGGGATAGAATGCTAGGGATACTTAGAAATAGTGCTTAGTCTTTGGCATGACCCTAAGGACTCTAAACTATGGAACTATGACATACTCCTTTCAATGAGCAATGCAGGATTTGGTCCATCAACAGTAGTTCTTAATCCTTGGTTATTATAATCCCTAAGACACAGCTAAAAAGGCATACGGAGCCTGGCCCTTGTTCGCCAGCTCCCACAATCCCTGTGCCTGTAACCCAACATGATATGCCCAGATGGCTGCAACGATGTACGAACTAGAACCTTCAAAGGGAATCCTGCCAGACAGAGATCAGATACTGTCCCAACCGTTGTTTCCTTCTAGGTCCTGCAAAGACTCCGGTCTGTTCGCTCGCCCTTCAACCCAAAACACCGCAAACCCTGAAACCCAAAACCGTAAAACCCCAAGCCCTGAATCCTGACGCTGCGCCGGCTTCGCTCGAGCTTTTGCCAGACAGGCACGGGTAGACGCCTGACAAAAGAGGTGCTGCCTAGGCCTAGTGTTCAAACGATATAGACTTTAGGGGGATTAAGGGTTTAGACTTTAGCGGTTTAGAGTTAAGGGTTTCGCGGTTTAGGTTTTGGGGTTTGGGGTTCCTAAAGGTGTTCCAACAAGCAGGACATTAGGGCTTGAAGTACTGAGCTACCCCTGCATCAAGTATGTAGGACAGGAGAGTTTGATGTAGGATTTGTAGGAGAGGAGAGTTTGATGTAGGGTTTGTACAAAAAAGTTTGATGTAGGATTTAGGATTTCCCCTGCGTGCCTTGGAAGTCATGGTCGAGGAGGCAGATGTCGTCATTGTGGGCGGTGGCCTCGCAGGCGGCCTCCCTTTTGTGGTTGGTTGTTAGTGGGGAATTGGGGAATGGATCCCGATAGTAGCCCCTCTCTCTCCCTCTCTCTCTCTCTCTCTCTCTCTCTCTCTCTCTCTCTCTCTCTCTCTCTCTCTCTCTCTCTCTCTCTCTCTCTCTCTCTCTCTCTCTCTCTCTCTCTCTCTCTCTCTCTCTGTCTCTCTCTCTCTCTCTCTCTCTCTCTCTCTTCCTCTCTCTCTCTATCTCTCTTTCTCTCACTCTCTATAGAGATCGGCCGCTACAATCCCCTATTATAGGCCCCAACATCGGTTTCCCCATTCCCTACTAGGGGATGAGGGAGTTTTGTGCTTGAGGCAATTTTGTTGCTGCGTGTTACAGGTCGAGTGTTAAGCGCAGTTGAGCTTTGGAGTTCAGGGTTCCCGATATTCCTGAGATTTCGAGCAGGGGCTTTATGTATGTTGTGATTACAAGGCTCTAGGTACAGGGCTGCAAGGGGCGATTATTTGCTTTACAGATGGGTTGGTTGTTGGCTCGCTCGGTTTGGGGATTCCATGTGTTACGGACAGTCAGAGTCTGTGGTTGGTGACAGCTGTTGTGCGTACGGCCCCTCCCAGTGTGGCGCAGTGTGGGCTATCAAGGCCGTTGGGTCTAGGTCACCCAGTGATATCCACTTTGATGGCTGCGTCTCCTCAACGGAACAGCTAAGCAAAGGGCATCCTCAGATTTAGGGGTTGGGCACCGACATGTTTCGGTTGAGAACCAAAACACTAACACGAATAGTATCGATAACAATAGCACGAATAGCAACCGTAATATTAACACGAAGAATATCCGTAATGCTGACACTAACATTCCAGGTTCCGAGCGGCGTCTGCTAATAAGAGGAACAGCATTCAGTAATCACAATCTAATGTCAAAACCCAAAACTCTAATAGTTAATATATAGTATTAAGAATGTTAGTAGCAGTAGTACTAGCAGTAGTAGTAGTAGTAGTAGTAGTAGTAGTAGTAGTAGTAGTAGTAGTAGTAGCAGCAGTAGCGGCAGTAGCAGCAGTAGCAGCAGTAGCAGTAACAGGAGCAGTAGCAGTAGCAGTAGCAGTCGCAGTAGTAGTAGTAGTAGTAGTAGTAGTAGTAGTAGCAGCAGCAGCAGGAGTAGTAGTAGTGGTAACAATGACAAAGAAACAGTAGGAATATCAACAAAAATATTCATAACGCCAATCATAGTCCCGAGTCCAAGCCAGGTCTAGGAGCTGCATTTCAGCTTGCTTCCAAGCACGGCAAGCGGGTGGTTGTCCTGGAGGCATGGGGTGTTTCGGTTTAGGGTCTTCATGGAGCTTCAGGTTTAGGGCTTAGGGTCTTTCTAGGGATGTGATTTACAGTTTGGGGTCTGTAGGGTAGCTTCTGCTTTGGGCAGGGTCTTTCCCAACTCGTTGAAAGGTTGCGGCTGTAAGCGCGAGAACGCGCTTGTCTTTCCTGGGTTTGGGCACCGCTTTGTCGTTGCTTGGTTGTGGCCTTTAAGGTCTAGGATCTTTGTCGGGCTTTATAATAGCTTAAAGCAGCCCTGGGGTTTAGGATTGAGGTGTGGGGAAATCTTTAGGGTTTGGGGTTCAGGTGTATGGGGTTTTGTGGGGGTGCTTTACAAAGCTCCATAAGGGTCGTATCTTTCTAGAATGTAGATCTTAAAGGCACGCGGCGGACTCTCTGTGAAGGGTTGCTGCCACGTTTGAGAAGGGTCCCCTAGGCCATACTGCACGACCACAGCCCTTGAAGCCAATTATCTCAAATATACTTTAGACGCTGCCCCCACCCTGTTATTGTGACTCTAAGGATTTTATTAGGGCCCTATTATATTCCTATTCTACCACTACTACAGGGTGGGGGCAGCTTCTAAAATATACTCGCTTTTGGAAGTTTTGCAACTGCAGTCGGAAGTTGTGTATTTCCGGGGTAACATGTATCACCTTATTCAAGCACTACTTTCGGACAGCTTGAATAATCCATAAGCCAACACCCTTGCAGATTTACAGATACGTGGGAGTTTTACAAAACAAGAGACCTGAATCTTGAACCTAAATCCTAAACTCCTAAACCCTAAACATACCTTGAACCTGGGTATATAGCAGGATCCTTGGTTCATAGTTCTAAGCAGGCACCCTTGGTCCCGACAATCGCCCGCACGGGGTCGTCGCTAGTTGTCCTATAAGTCCGCTTCATAGAGCCGTTTCGAGCATATACCAGCCCTTTAGAAACTTAAATCCCGACACGCCAAATTCGCAAAGGTTTGAAAGCCCTGAACCCTTCAAACCCCTAACCCTGAACCCTCAATAATAATTCAAACGCTAAACCCTAAACCCCTCAAACCCTACAACCCGCCCTGAAACGCTTAAACGCTACTGGGTACCCAGACCTCCGGGAGGATCTAGAAAGTAGATGCCCTAATTTGGGGCCCTATACTACTAAGGGTACTTAACAGGGAACCCCATTGAGGGATCTACTTTTGAGATTTAATGTTTAAAAAAGAAAATGATTTTTTCCGGTGGTCCGGGTGATGGAGGCCACGACGCCGAAACTCGATGGAAACGACCGCTTCGACCCGGCTCCTCGGTAAGCAGAGTTCCTTTAAGGGTTTCTTTTTAAAAGGGTTCCTTAGTAGCTGAGTGGATACACTTTAAAACTGAAAGGGTGCACTTTTGGGGGCTTATGAACTCAGCAACTAAGGGCTCCGTGTTAAAAGGTTCCTTTTGAAAAAAGATGTGGAAAATGGGGTCCATGGGTTTAAGGTTTACCGGGGTCTACAGGGGGATTATGGGGTTTATAGGAAAAGGCTCCTTTGATTCAGGGTGATTGTAAGGATTCGATAAGGGGTTCTGTGATAGAGGGTGGGTGCTGGTGAGTATCATGTTTGGGTTGTTATGTTGTCTACCGGGTTCAGGCTGTATGTGTTCGGACGAGAGCCATCCGTGTTGTCATCATGACCCTGCTGACAGTACAAACAGTGATGCCAGTGGCTGCCATGATGATGGTGATG